TTTTTTTTTTTTTTTTTTTTTTTTTTTTTTTTTTTTTCGGTGGCTTGGCGTAGTGGGTAAGTCCGTCCTGATCATCATCGCAGCATTCTCAAACCGGGTCGAAGCGATGTAAAATAACAATAAAAAAAATTGAGGTGTTTTTTTTTTTGTAGAAATCTTTGAAAAGTCTGGTAATTAATTTTCTCTTATTCTGCCCGGGCGAAGCTGCGCCGGACAACTACATATAATTAAAGTAATTTTCGGGGATAAAAACAACAATTTTTTTATTTCTCTCCACCTGGGCCTCCCTCCGTCCGCCATTCTCCCCGACAACATCGCTTTCAAGCACAACCAGTGAAAACGTTAACCCATCAGGGGATGAAAAACGATTTTTTATCCATTTTTTTCCCCCCACTTTATTTTTTTTTTACTCGTGTGTGGGGTGAAACGATAAAGTTTGCCCGCGTTCGAACGACACCTCGTTTGTCAACATCTCGCTGGAATCCTTTTACGAGAAACGCTGTTACTCTCCCACTAGTCTCACCTCTCACTCTCTCCCTCTGACACACTCGTTTCAGTTGAACGTTTTACGAGAATCGCTCCTTGTATTCTACAAAATGTTAAATATGTTGAGTGAAATTGTTTTATGTATTTACCGAAGTCGTGTTTATTTCAATCTTCGTGACAACAGCAATCCCAAAACTGTTTCAATAAAATAGAAAGTAGGAAAAAAGCTCTTCTCATGTTTTACGCAAAAGCCATTTACCTTATCTTACATTTATCTCGATAACGATTGGTTTTACCGGAAAATACCTCAGGACCTTTTTTGTAGAGAATTGAATTTCCAACAAAAGATGTCCCGAGACATATTCCCCTGAAACCCCTCATTAACCAGATAATTAACAATTAAAAAAACGTGGAAAATTAAACTTCCTAATTTTCACGAATTCATCATTTTTAAGTCTGAGAAAATCGCTTGAGGTAAAAAAAAATCATTCATTGTGATTAAAAAAATTGGAGTTGATCAATAATGACTCCCGCAACATCTCAACGAAAAAGCCCTCATGAAAGAGGACACCCAGAGGAGCTGTAAGATAGCGAGTTTCGCCTTGGGGGAAACGGGGCGGGTATATATCTTGAAAAATTTATCGCAACCTCTTCTCCTCCATTTTCCCTTTCTCCCTCCCCCCCCCCTCTCTCTCTCTCTCTCTCTCTCTCTCTCCTCTCAGTGTATATTTCATTGCGCGACCGGCGAGAAGAAACATTTTTGCTTGGCAGTGGAGTGTATCCGTAGTTGGTCAGGCGATGGGGTTATGGAGTGTGTCACGTACGAAAGAACGCAATTTTCCCTTTACTTTACGCGAGACACTCCCCAGCGATCTTTCATCTTTTCCCTTCTCGTGCTGTATCTCGGTTGCGAGACTCGTGGGGGAGTTGAAAGGGATATATTGACGGTGAAGCATTGATTTTACGAAACTTTAGTTGAAGTCAAGTTTTTTCTCACTGATTTAGAGTCATTATTGTGTCATTGGGAGGATTCATTTTGTGGTGACTCGTAATTCACCAACTGACAAAAGTAAATGCTTCTCTCAAGTAAATGAATATTTGGCAAATTAATTTTTTTTCTCACTGCAACAGCACATTCCCTTCCCCTAATTAGAAAACAAATTCTCGAAATTTCAAGCTCACAGGGCTTCGGAATAGACTCACCTCCCCGAAAAATTCTCCAGCAAATTTTCTTTATTAGAATCGTCAGAAACTCCAAGAGCCCCTCAGTTCTTCATCCCCCTCCAGTCTACCCTCTTCCTCAGCTATCCACTTGAAACTCCCGGCTGTAGTCGAAAGCGATACATCAACACTGTAACATTGATTTCATAAACTTCCAACGGTATTGGAAAAATTTTTCCAAAGGTTTCAACTGAAAGGGGTTCTCTGCAAAACTTGTGATTGATAAGAAAAATGGAGGAGTGCTTTCACAATTTCGCAGCGAAGGATTTTTTATTTTTCTACCGCAGTGGAAAAGCTCGTTAGCGAATGCTTTGTATTATTTCTCTCTCTCTCTCTCTCTCTCTCTCTTTCTCTCTTGGTCTCTACTCCTCTCCTTTTTATTTTTAATGCGGATCGTTGGCTCTTCCAGCCGAGCATAAATAATTAATGCAACGTTGGAACTCATTAATGGGCCTCTCCTGAAAGACCGTAAATAACGCTTTTTTTCTCCCATTTTCTCGGGAAAGTTATAACATTTTATACTTCTTCTTGGGCTTTCTCCCCTGTCTCCTTGGTTAAATTCACGGGAAATATAAAGTTTTTCGAATTTCAATGCTACTCCATCCGTGAAACACTCGACCTGTCGGAGTTTGGACCACGAAAATTTGTTGGTTGGAGTTTTCAGATGCAGGGGAGAATAAATCTTAAAGGGGTTTTGGTGTTTTCGGGAAGTTGTTTCGTGAATTGAGGCGGTATTCTGCCAGCTGGAGACAACTTGAAGTTGATATTTCATTTTGTTTCGGTCGAGGTGGAGGAGTTTATTGGATTCCCTGGAGTTTTTCAATTCAATTTAATCTAATTCTCAATTGGGCAAATTTTTTTCACATAATCATTTTCATTTTGACAATCATTTTCCTCGGAAATATTGTCTTCCACTCTGAAATCGTTTGAGAGGGGATTCTGGTAATTTTTTTTTTTTTTTTTTAGCACAAAAGCAATGAGTTTATACAGCTATTTTGATAACTGTGAGATTATACGGGGAAGGACTGGGTTTTGGGGGAAAAATCATAGAATCTTTTTTGTAGAGAATTAAATTTCCGACAAAAAATGTCTTATGGCATTTGACACTCAATGTGAGCCTCAAGCCCCTGTTGTGCATCAAAAAAAACCCAAATTATAAACAATGAAGATTCTTTTCTAATTTTGCATTCATCTCAGAAACTACAATTCTCCGCAATTGCTCTCGAAATTATACATCCAATGTCAATATACAGATTTCATTCCTCTCCCAAAACGATTAAGAACACGTCTCAGAGATGCGGAAAATCAATTGTCTTCACATATCTCATGATTTTTCAATGTCTGATAATCTCGAAAATGGTCTCTTGTCCTCTAGATTCACGTCAATTTTGAAATTTTCATGACGTCAGTCCCCCAGCCCGGATCGATATAGAGAGTTTATTCAAGCCTTCCATACCGAAGCACTCCGACTCCCAAAAAAAAGATGAGAAATTCGCGCAGAGGGGGGAAGGGGGAAATAAGACGACCCGGCGTCGTGGAAAATTAATCACGCGGTGTCGCCCGGGACGTGAATATAGCCACCACCCACTGCCGTCCCGTCTGCGAAGAGAGAGAGAGAGAGAGCGAGGGGGGGGGGAGAGGATATATATAAAAACGACGAGATTCAGTCACCTCCGGTAAAAGTGAGGAACTCCTTCTTTTATCATCGCAGGGCTTCAATCCTTCTATTTTCCTAGGCGGCTGGGATTGCCAACAAAAGCTTCTTCCATTAACTCAAAATGTCGTGGGACTTCTTTCAAGAAGATTCAATGGGAGGTGTGGAAGACTGAATCATTTCGAGTGCTTGAGGGATTTTCAGGGATTTGAAATATCTAATACGACTTTTTTTTTTTTTTTTTTTTTTTTTTTAGAAATTCTCTTAGAAAAAAATTCTAAGAGAATTAGAATTTAGAGAGAAAAAATT